TTTGTTCTCGCTAGGAAATCTCCCTCTCAAACTAACATCTTTTATATAAAGACAAGTGAATTACATGTTGAATTATCCATTATGTCCCTATATAAGTTAACGCTTAGAAGGGTTTATCCTAATAATTTAAAATACAAGATGTAGACAATACTAGAAGCAAAACCTAGAGGGTGATGTAATTATCTCACTCAAGAAAATAATAATAAATAAATAAATAAAAAGTTTTGAGAAGCATGTGATTGTGAGCATCAGTATTGAGTTGAAAATGCAGCTGCCCGTGAATATTATGATTAAAGCATGCTCTTTTTTTTTTTTTTTTTTTGGAAAACAAAGAATGAACTGTTAAAAATTATGACCAAAATTCTGAGCCCAAAAATTAGGTGCTAATTAACACCTAAACACAAAATTTATATTAAAATTTCTGTCATAACAGACTGCAAATGTTTCTTCAAATGCATTTATTGTCTACTATTTTTAATGGTAAAGAATGGTTAATAGCTTATTATAGATTTAATGTTGTTTTTTTTTTTTTTTTCTGTTGTGAAATAATGTTTTTTTATTTATATGTTTTTTTGATTATTTTATGCAAAGGTAGACGACTATAAATGTAGAAAAGAATGAAAATATTGATACACATTTATGAAAGGAAGCAGCTAACAGACAGAATGGGAATTTGGAGATTATATATTCTGGTAGTTAGAGAACAAGACTTGCATGATAGAAATTAAGGAGTATATGATTGACATATTTAAGCAACAATGGAGTAGAAAGGTTATGCAAAAAAGAAGTTACCTGAGGAGTACTACGGGGATAGTGTAGAACCTGAAAAGAGAATTTTTCTTTGGCCAATAATGAGAGATCTTCTATCATATTCACTCTTCTCTCCCCCTCCAACTATCCCACCACCACAACGCTGCCCCCCCACCACCACCACATATCTTCAACAATTAACTCAATCTCTCTGTTGTCTCTCTCAAAAAAAAAAAAATGTGTATTATATATATATATTATAATATATAAGCGTGTAAACTTTGGAAGAACGTATTTAGTGTGATTGTGAGAGTTTGGTGAGCTTTTTGGCTAAAATGAGTAGAGAGAAAAGCCTAATACTATCAGTAGCTCTACATTATAACTCGTCTCAAATAATTAAACTCATTTGTAAAGTTATTATGATAAATTTGTAGTTGGTGAAATGTAGAATTCATGGGCTCAACCCAACCCATAATTGTTTTGCAAGTAATGTTACCGTGCCTGGGGTTCCAAGTTAGTCAGGTTAGTTAAAGAGTAGAAAGCAAGAACCCAATTCATACATTTTAAAAAAATAAGAAGTTCAAAAGTTGAGCGGATTAATGGTCAATATGATCAACGAAAGGCAAAACAGTAGTCTAACACCAATCAACATTGGCTAACATTGGCCAACGTGGATCGACCACCATCAAACACTAGTCAACACCAATCAAACATCGGGTTAACGGTGATCAATGTCGGTCAACAATGGTAATGATAATCAACACCATTGATTGGTGTTGATTATAGTTTGATCGACCATTTCATATTTAAGTTATAAATAGTAAATTAATTGGTAATGTTTATTTTTTTTGAAACTAATGCTGTGGAACATTGCATTAACTAAGGCAATGATTTTAGTAAGTTTTATTTAATGTAGAGTACATCACATTATTTTGAATAAAATATTTTATTAATGAGTGATGTTATTGGCCCTTACAGGTGCATTTGGATTGAAGGCATATAAGATAACGAAGGTAATCTTTGTTTATTTTGCAAGATTTTGGTGTTTGGTTTGTAAATAATAAAATATTACGAGTATTTTTTATTATAAATAGTATTTACTGTTGGTAAGGTTGGGGTAATCTGATACCCTCCCCTAAGGTTGTTATTAAAAGATTATTAGGTAATCTGATTTTGCCCTTAATTAAATACTATTTCGGACACAATTGCTCTCAAATGTCTTCCAAATAACCATTAGCCTAACCCCTCTATATTTGAGAATTTAGTTAAAACACTCTAGCCACAAAAAAAAAAAAAAAAAAAAATAATAATAATAATAATAATAATAAAATATCACTAACCACCCAAGACCACTGCCAGCCGTTACTCACCACCATTGGCTGTCAGCGTTAGTCACCGTAATAGTGCACGACCGACGAGATCTGGCCAGTTGTGCGTCGGTAATGCCTTTTTCAACTATAGATATGTGATCAATTGCCAAAAACGACCAGATTTGGCCGTGAAATGGTGGTTTTGTCAGTGCATGACCGACCATATATGGCTAGTCGTGTACCATTCCATCGACTGTCGGCGGCAGCCGACGGTGGTAACTGGCTACCGATAGTGGCTTGGGGTGGGTGGAGATGATTTTGCTACAAATTAAAGTTTTATATGGTTGGGGTGTTTTAGTAAAATTTTAAATGTAGGAGGTTAAAAGAAATGATTCAAAAAATAATAGTAAAAATATTATTATATTAATATTTAAAATGAGGGTAATTTAGTAATCTATATAACATACCTACCTATTTATCCTCCCAACCAAACATATTACTCATTAATTTATTTGAACCAATCAAATACATTTCTTAAACTTATTTAGTAATTTTCATATAATATAAAATTGTATTTAAAAAGAAAACATTTATAATCTTCAAGATAATATATCTTTCCATTAATATAATATCTCTCTATAATAAAATATTATATGATCCAAACACACCCTACCTTTTATCTTATTTGACCCTAATTACTATTTTGAATTTTCTTCTTAAATATAATTTTATACTTATATGAAAATTATTAAATAAGACACAAATGTATTTTATGCACAATCCATCTAGACGAAATCTTTTGCTACTAATTTAAATTTTCTACATCATAAACCCTAAAATATTTTTGAAATAGTCAAGATGAAATGACTTTGAACACCTCTTCTACAAGAATTAGGTTTTATTTTTTAAAAAGAAAAAGTTATTACGTAAATTAATAATATTGTTTTTAAAATATAACCTAAAAAAAATCTTAGTACTAGTTGCAATTGGATGGCAGAAAAGGGTTGGCCAATCCCAATTCTGGTTTAAAACAGAGCTCAAAGCCCGGTGAGTCAGGCCGGGCCGACAAAAACCAGAGCTAGGGCTAGTTGTTTAAAAACAAATACCCAACCTAAGATTTTGTCAGATGTAAGGGGCGTCGGCCACTAGGCCCACAAAATTTTGGAGAACATAAATGTTTAACTATTTGAAAATTGGGCACCTTTACTTTGTTAAGCTTTATAAATAGGCCCTGATTGTGATTGATGCAGGCATCCAAGCCAAGATGTTTGGCATGTCCCTATGTTGAAGTCAAGGTTGACAGCTGTTTATGAAGCATGAACCATTAATAATAAGAAGCTTCCTAGAAAACCATAACAACAGTGACACCCTGAGCCCTCCTTGAGTTCATTTCACTTGGACTCTTTACTTTTTATTTTATTATTTCAACTTGTTTGTTTTATTATTCTTATGTGATCCTGACCTTTATGATTTTATACCATTAACTGGACATTAAAACGACGGCGGCCACACTATTAATATTATTTATAAAATCTCAACTTGCGTTTTCAGGAGTCGAGATATGTACAAGAGGTAAATTGTTTATTTTAATTACCCACCAATTATGAAATAAGTCTTTGCCTTTTTGACAGTCCAATCCAAATTCATCCCATTTGCCAAATTGAATTGAATTCGTTGCTCACGTGACTATAATATAATTACATAGGGGTAGGGCCCAGAACACTTCCTCGTGTAAAAGATAGGGTTAGATCAACAATATTATCATTCTTATTAAATCAATCTGAATCTAAAAAGATAATTTAATATAAAGTCCATCTCTATGTAACTAAAAGAGAAGAAAATAAACATAAGGCAGCAATTTGTTGTCGGCGCAGTTTGACAGAACATGGGGACATTGTTGTCCACATAAATCCTTCACTACTAATTACTAAAAGGAACTTCCTTCCCCATGCTTATCCAATTCTAAATATGAAATACCTCATGCCCCACGTCACCACCCTTTTAGTTCCCCCAGCCTATTTCTTATTCGGTCAACATTCCATAATGGACTACGGGAGTCGAGACAACACATCTGATCAATCATATTTTACAAATCTTATTTTGATCTAACAACTTATTAAAACACACTTCAATTCAAAAACACAGTGTATTCTTCTACTAGTAGTGCATATTTACAAAATAAATAAATAAATAAATAAAACGAAAAAAAGTGTCACGGCCCACGTCAAAGAGGAAACAAGCATGGCCCACCCAAACTCAGTTCATGCGATGCATTTAGTCGCATCTCAATTGATGACGTTTTTTAATTACGTGTATCCCTTTGAACATGACGTATTTCTTGTTATCCAAGTAACCTCCTTTTGCATTTTCAACTCCAACGCAATTACAGTAATTTTTTATAATTCAATTAAAAATATTATATAATGCGTCAAAAGATGAATATTGAATAGTTGAGTTGAATAATTCGACATGACACAAAAAGTCAATTCTTATCCTTTTACTGATATCTTCATTCGTCTCAATGGATAATAAGAGCAACGCGGCAGACCATTATTGGAACCACAGAAAGTAGAGCGTAGAGCTAAATGCAGAGGATCACGTGTTGACCCAAGACTAAACGACGACAGTCAGCGGCAACCAAAAGATGTTAAGCAACAGAAACAGACAAAGTTTGTGACGGAAGCAGTGACAGAAGAAGGCAAAGTGGGATACCCACGCCTAATCAAAATGAAGACACGTGGCCACTTTCCAAAGGCTGCGGTCAGCTTTGCTGTGAAAAAGAAAATGGTAAGAAGTTCTTGTTCCTCTTCTTTTTATCTTCACCCTCTCCACGTTTTCATTCAATTAACCCATCGCACAGGGGCCCGCCATCCCCACGTGACTAAATTACCAGTCTTGTGTTGTGTTAAACACCTCCTATATAATCACGCCTTTCAAATTGATGTTCGGTCATCGTCCAGAGTTTCAGAGAAGAAGAAAGAAAGAAAGAGAAGAAGCAAAGAAAATAAATATTTGTTCGATAGCAGAAGATGAACGGATATTCAGAACTTGTTTTACCACCTGGGTTTAGATTCCACCCAACTGATGAAGAGTTAGTTTATCACTATTTGTGTAGAAAATGCGGCGGCTTGCCTATTGCTGTGCCTATTATTGCTGAGCTTGATCTCTACAAGTTCAATCCATGGGACCTTCCTGGTAATTTTTTTTCTTTTTCTTTTTCTTTTTTCCTGAGAATCCGGGGGATATTCAGAAATCCCCAGACACTTGCTTCGCAAGCTCAGCTTCGGAGTTGGAGCACCGAGCTTGTCAAGTGCCCTTCCCAAACCTGCAATCTTTGGGAAGCAGGAAACAATAAGACCTCGTGGTTTTTTTTTTTTTTTTTAAATTATTTTGAAGAATATTTTAAAACACACCCTTTAATTTAGAAATCATGGGTTGTTGGTTTTTTAATTTTGTTTTATTAATTTGTTGAATTTTTTTGTGTGGGTAGAAATGGCGCCTTATGGGGAGAAAGAATGGTATTTCTTTTCTCCAAGAGACAGAAAATATCCAAACGGGTCAAGGCCGAACCGGGCGGCGGGAAGCGGGTATTGGAAGGCAACCGGGGCGGATAAGCCCATTGGAAAGCCCAAAGCAGTTGGTATTAAAAAAGCACTTGTGTTTTATGCTGGAAAAGCTCCTAGAGGAATCAAAACTAATTGGATCATGCATGAATATCGCCCTGCTAATGTTAATAGATCTCCTTCCAATAAGAACAATTTAAGGGTACTTGATCTTTTTTTTTTTGTTTTTGTTTTTTATTAGTAAATTGAATTGATTAACATTGTTTTTGTTGCCACTGATTGCAGCTTGATGATTGGGTATTATGTCGATTATACAACAAAAAGGGAAAGATGGAGAAGCATTACCCTATGGATAGGAAAGTAATGGAACTACCAGAAATGGAGGAACAAAAGCCTGACATTAAATTTTCAGCTCAAAATATGACAATGCATCCACAACAATCACCAATGAATGACCTATTACATATGGACACGTCAGACTCGTTACCGCGATTGCATACGGATTCGAGTTGCTCGGAGCACGTGTTGTCGTCGCCAGAGATCACCTGCGATAAGGAGGTGCAAAGTGAAGCTAAATGGAATGAGTTAGAGAACGCATTTGATGATTATCAATTCAATTACTTGGAAAGCTTCCAGGATAACCCATTTGGTTCACAAGTGCAGTATCAAATGGAGCAATTATCACCATTACAAGACGTGTTCATGCTGCTTCAAAAACCATTTTGATTACATTTTTTAGTATTAATTGGGATTCAGAAATCTTGGTCTGTGAATGTGCACGTGTGGGGTGGCTTTTCAAAGTCATAGAAATCGGCTATGTCAGATTCGAGAGATCTTTTCCTCATGTTAATAGTGGTAGGACATTCAATTCTTAATTGGTGGGAACATTGTAGTAGAAATTTTTTTATATAGAAATATAAATATAGTTGATTTTAAGAATACCTTTTCTTTATGTTATTATTGGTCCACATGTCAAAACTTCAATAGATATATAGTCAAGATTAATGTATTCATATTTTATTGGGGGACTTTAGCCATAATCTTTCTGTTGTATATTTGACAGTCTGAAATCTTGTCAACTTATAAATCAAATGAAAATAGATATCTGCATAAATCATCTACATTTTCTAGACTTATTAGGGGTAATTATCTTTCTTTATACAATTCATACAACCCCAATTCAAATAAATATAGCTGATATATACAAAGAGAATACAACCATCATCCCCTTCAAATATTAACATATTTGGATCTGGGAAGCCGATCACAGTTGGCAGGGGTCCATCCAATCATTTGCTTCTCGTTGTCGTAAATCACCATTTTGTCTTGCATTGAAATATCTGTTAATAGGACAACACAATGTAAAAATGCAGTTGTTCATCAGTAAGATGATGACATTTATCTCCCTGTTTATGAAGATGATAACCATATAGAAACTCTTTACCTCCAATGAGGTTTACATCTTGCACCCCTATTTCACTTCCATTTAGGATTCCTAAGCAAACATTTCCATTGGACTGACACAACACATTGTAACAAGTGTTATTACTAAACAAACATTGAAAAACCAAGAAAACTGTTTATAGATAGTTGAAGGCGTCTCTTACTGATATTATGAGATATGCTTCAGGGGTTAGTTCAAACAGAGTTCTAGTTTTCCCATGTGTGAAGCTCAGGGACAGGGACTTGAAGTATTTCTTGACATCACGTACGTTTTTAAATGGTTTCTGGCCCTTCCAGCAAAGTGGCAACGTCTGGTCTTCCGGCGCTTCTTTCAAGGGCTTTCGACTTAATTCTTTCTTCATCTATAAACATATAAAACATCCATCTAAAAGATTCAAGTCAAGATAATTTAATATTGCAGAGAAATATCTACTATTGATCATATATTTTCTGAGAAGTCGATCATTACATAAAAGAAACTTGTAATTGACTCATATAGTATAAGCCTTGTTACGTATTCTTGATACGAAATATTTGTTTTCACATTAAAAAGAAGTGAAGGTTCTTCCGACTCACCACAGATGTTAAAGCGTGATATGCCAGATGATTGAAGTAAGTATAAGAGCTCCCACTGTCGAAGATTGTAAGTAGATTCTTTATCAAAGAAGTTTTGCCACCAAAAATGAGTTCTGCAACTCCAGGCGAGTAGTGTTGTCTGACATTGATAATTAGAGAAGATGCTATAAGCGGAGGAAAACGAATTATAACGAAACTCAATGAAGGGGTCATGTATGGGATAATTACGTATAATCAGGTGACATTGATGTCCAAACCACACGTGAAGAATCATAAATGTCATCTCCAAAGAAGAGGAACCCTCCACCTCGTCCACTTAAACAGTGGCCAATTACATTTCGAACTAAATTCTGACTGTGAAGCTGTGCAAGAATGCTGGATCTTCCCTTGCCAAGACCAAGTATTCCATCCAAGGGATGATAGATGGACCTGGAAGTTGATCATATCCGCAACTGTATACAAAAAATCAGGATAAAAACTATAGAATAAGATAGCCATGATTTCTGCTTGCCTATATTGCATCTGAAGGACAACAGTAAAACAAAGGCTACCCTGCCGCCTTTTTGGGAGTTTAAAAGAGTTATTTCAGTGGTGAACGACAAAGTTTTCTTCCCATCTGATAGGTAAGAAATCAGGCTACCTAGATAGGCGAATTAAGTCCTTTTAACAATTAGAAAACCGTTGGTCATCAACCCCAACAGCAACATGATTTACAAAAGATCCACACAAGTTATAGTGACAGCATAAAAGGTTTACTACGAAAGTTCTATTCAAAGGTATATAATTCCATGCACTTGCCCAAAAAAATACCATGATTTTGAGATTGTTAAGCTGCCACTAAATTCAGAATTTTAAATTGATAGACAAATGCCCAATAGTAATATTTTAGCACGAACACATCTCCTTATGATAAGGCACATAGATTACAGACAATAAAATACAATCATAGTCACAAATACCAATTCATTATAATTGAAGATGCAATGGACGATCAAACAGGAGACCACTTTGTCAACTTGGCTCTTAAACAGTATTAAATTACTATTAGACCAAAGAACTTAGATAAGAGTTCAACAATATGATCTGAGTTCTAACAAAGAAAATTTAGACAATCAAAGTTACCAACCCGAGAGCTAGACGGGGATTAATTCTGACTCCGGTTATATAATTGAAGGCAAAAGCATCTCTGACAAGGACACCAAGAGAAGAACCACTATCTGCATACTGAACCTCATAGTCGCATTGCCCTGGATCTGGACATTTGTGGTCACCTGGTGCATGTAAGGATGCACAGATTGGGTCCTTACAGACCACAAGATCATTGTTGGGTTTGTAATAAGGATGAGGTGCCTACAAAGAGTTGGTTAAGAAAAATTATGACATGGTCTCCAATTATCTACTTCTAATACAAGCTTCAATGATGATATAACACAGCATTCAATATAAAATGGCTCCTGGAACTCATCTAGATTGATAAAAAGTTGCCATATTGAAGCAAGTACCTCAGTGCAATGCACACAGGGTGCATCACATTGGAGCCATGTGAGATCACTTCCAGTGTCAATATCAAGAAAGTAAGGCTTTGCTGGCTGTCCCATGTAAAGGGTGACATTATAGTACCTGCAAAAATAAAAAACCCTCTTTGATATCATCAACATCAATACATTGCTAAATTCAAGAAAACTCTATGTTTCAAAATGACATACCCTGTAGGATACACATTCCCATGAACTGGGAACAAAAGGGAAGACCCAACTCTATTGATCAATGATGAGGACGTTGGTGAAGCTGAACAGAACTTCAAAACCAGAGATAAAATCAACCAAACAACCAACCCCATCTTCCCGTTTCTCATGTTTGAGTTTCTATTTCTCTTTTTCTCAGTGATTTTGTGGATGAATTTGGTTTATGATATGTGTTTGATGAAATGCGTGAATGAAACAAAATAGGAGTTTTCGTCTTGGGGTTTTGTGGTGAATAATTATACAAACAGGGGCTGGTGTTACTTGGAGAGTAAGGATTCATGGGTATTGCTTTGCTTGTTTAAATTAATATACGTTCCTTTTCTTTCTACTGAGTTTATAATTCATTCATTCATTTTTCTTCAGGTCAAGGGTAGTTTATTATTCTTGGATTTTCACTCAAAACTGGAACTGGAATCTTATAAACCACTTGAACAAGTCAACTAACTTTTCTTTAATTTTTATATCAAAATTCAACGCTTTTGAGCAAGTATTTTTAGAATTCTTTTATGGTTTTTGAGGAAACATAAATGGGAGGGAACTGGGATTCAACTTAATCTAATCGATTTAGCGAAATTAAGTGATTTTTAAGATGATAAAACTCTACTTCTAAGGTTGGGTCTACTCAAAATTTCGTATAACTCTTTCGTAAAATAAAAAACAGTTGTGACAAACATATTTTGGTGGTATTTAAGTAGTTTCCTAGAATTTTCCTACCCACTTGGGTTTGCATGTTTGAAACTTTTGGAACACATTTTCAACAAAAATATGGCTGTTGTCGCATAGTAGAAAAATTTGAAGCTTGACTTAATCTCTTTTTCATGTTCACCGAACTCGTTCATTTTAAGACAAGATAGATTTTTTATTTATTTTTTTTTTTTATCAAGGTGTTTGAGTTAATTTGTATGCACTTCAATTAATTTTTAGATATTCTAAAACTGTCGGTCAGATAAGAGTCACATCGATCACTTCTCAAAAACTCATAAAACCTCATTTTACGGTTTTACTATGAGGTCACTCAATGATGATTGACAAGATAAAAGGTGTGGGATCATAAGTTAATAACATCATACAAATAAATTATAAAAAGACTTTAGAGCCATTGTTATTTTTAATAAAGAAAATGATACAGCCAAAATCTAGCTCCGTGGGACCTTGTATTAATAATACTCTTTCTCTTTCTCTCTTTTTTTTTTTTTTTTTATATAAATTTGATTGATTTGAGAATTTTAGAAAACTATGGGTGTATATTGTTTCCTTTTTTTTTTTTATGGAATATTGAAAATGTTTGGAATGTGAAAAATAAAAAAGTATTCAATATATTTGTTTGAAAACATTATTTAAAAATATGAAAAATGAAAATGCGTTCAACATTTTTATTTGAAAATACTATAAAAAGAAATGAAAATTAAAAAAAAAAATTATCACTTATACACCTGTAAAATATCTTCAAATTACAACTTATTTCGCTTCTCGAAAAGGTTATATCAAATTATAAATCTTAATTTTGATAAAAATCTATATTTTAAGAGAGATAAAAGAATAAATAAAAAGAGAACAAATATATATTAATTGTTTATATCAAACATATGGGTTCAATTTTGAAATTCAAATTCTCAAAAAGGTTATGGTAAATCCAAAACATAAACGGGCTATATTCTTCATAATACACTAAAAATAACTTTACAACATAAGATGGATGAAATTGAATGATTAAGCCGCAATGTTTTTATATAGAAGATGATTTCTATGGTTTAGTGGTCACATTTGAAAGTGAATTCTTACTGTAACCAAATCTCAAATTTATCATCAAAAGAAAAACCATACACAAATAAAAATGGATAACTATCAAGAGTAATATACATGTTCATCAAGAAACAAATGCTTTATTTGGTTCTAGCATTCTTTTATTAGAAGGCATTGACTTTTGCTTCAACTCAGATTTCAGGGAAGCAAGAGTCAAATCATGATCAGCCTCAATAGTCATAAGAACTGGTTCACATTCGGATGGCCCTGTTCCCCTCTGTTGATGTTGCTTCTGCATCTGTTTTGCAACCAAGTATCTGCAGCTAGTTGAGAATTTGATGGCATTTGCCACTGTGGTTGAAATTGGTGCTCCACTGCTGTAAGACTTCCCTCAATTGAATTTTCTGGTCGTTGCTAGTGTCCAATCATCAATATTATAGTTAGTAACTACGGTGTTAGAGACATCTTTGCTAATAAATAATGAATTGGCTACGAAAGTAATAGAAGCTAGCACTATTGCTACCTTGTATTCAAGTCCTTTAGCTTCATTACTAAAAGTAGTTTGATGCTGATGCTCCAGGCTAAGCTCCTGTAACATTGAGACAACTTGTAACTGGTGGAGATTTGGGTGGCTTTTCTGGGCTACCACGTTTTGATTTGTGATAATGCTCAACGAGTCCTACCAGATAAGATTGGCCTGCTTTTGGCTTGAAAATGTTGGCCTCCCCACTTAACTTTCTGTGTGATTCTGTAGTAGGGGAATTCTCTTCTTGTACTGTTTTTGTCCTTTCATTCGGCACCTGTTTATTTTCATTCTCGCCACATGATGAATCACAAGGCACATCCAAAAGTCGCTGCTGTGGATTAATCAGTTCCACCACTCCTTCAATCTGTATTTCTGGTAATCGGGCCTGCTTTTCACTAGCTTCGCTTTCTTGATCTTGAATTTTATTTTTCTCTTCAAGGTTCTCATTTTTCTGTTCTTCATGACACAGTTCTTCCATTACTTCTTTATCTAGTTCCTTCAAATGCTGTGCTTCAGCTACTTCAGTATGATTTTCAGCCTAATTCCTATCCTCAGCTTGGTTGTTCTCTTTTACCAATACTTCAATTGTTTTCCCTAGCACTTGAATTTGCAGTAAATTCATCTCTTTTTGCTGTTGTTATTGCTGCTCTTCTTCCATTACCTCTTTATTAAGTTCCTTCTGTTCTTCTTCAGCTACTCCACTATGATTTTCAGCCTGATTCTTATCTTCAGCTTGATTGTTCTCTTCTACCAACTAGCACTTGAATTTGCTGTAAATTCATTTCTTTTTGTTGTTGTTTCTGCTGCACCTGCTTTTGATTATGTTCTTCATTCCCTTCATTGTATTGTTCAGCTTCAACTTGCTTGTCATTCACTTTAAATTGTATTTCTTCAACCTCCTTGTGTTTTTCAATCAATTCAGCATACCCTTTGTTTTCTTGTTCTCCAGTTGTCCAATATGTCCTTCAGCTGGCTTTTGTTCTTCAAATCCTTTACATATTGTCCCATTCACTTGAGTCTTTTCCCGACTTTCTTCAATTTTTTTTCTGTTTCTGTGATTTAACTCCTTTGACCTTATGCTGCCTGCCATTTTGCCAACCCTTCTGAGACCTCCTCAAATGTTTCTGTTCTTTCTTCAACATATAACAAAAATGAGAACTCTCATTTGTAAGTATACAACAGTTTCCGGAAGTACAAACAATGTCTCCTTTCTTAACAAGCTTCTGTGGGTGATGAGTCAATAGACTTGCATGAGCAAAAGGCAAATCTTCATACTCAGCCTCAATGAACTTCGATATCGTTTCCTCACTTGAACCACCGAGCTCATTCAACTCTATGATTGCTCTTTGTATCATCAATGGAACACACAACACAAAATTGTTGACATGTGAATAATGATATGCGCCATATTTAGAAGATTGGAAATATTTGATATGGCCTAAGTATGGATAGTGTTGCTAGATTTATTCCATTCCTTTTATATGTTGATTTGTATTTATTTCTGTATATTTGACTTCCTTACATATCACTGTTACAATTGTATAAATTGTACAACATTTTACATAAAAGATATATCAAATACAAAAAGGTATTTCTCTCTTCTTTTCTTTTCTAGCATACTTTGCAACCGAGTGTTGCTTCTCTTGCCTCTCCAGAATTCTTCTAGGCATTCTTCGACAGTTCAACTGCTTCTATTGCCACTCTAATCCCAACTTCTTACATGGTATCAGAGCCAGGTTCCTTAGCCAGATCCTCTTCTTGCTTCTCAACTTCACTAATCCATTGCCTCTCCTCTGTTATTGATTTCCCTGCAAAACAGATCTTAGGATTAGTTCATTAGAAAATGGATCCAAACCAGAACCCAACAACAAACCCAATAGAGTCGATTACACCATAAATGGGCCTTGACCAACATACTCAAACCAACCCACACATACAGCCCAACCAAGATACACAAACCAATCCAAATAACCAAAACAACCCAAATTTGCAATCCAACCCAGATCCCCAAATCGGACCAAACCCAAACACATATCCATTTAGGTTTTTGGGTCAAACTGGCCCAAACTCGTTTCCCTTTCAATTCCAAATCGTCCAGCCAAACCAACGTCGATCGGAGCCCGGTGATCCCCTTTACTCCTCACCCTCCGATGGACCAGAACTTGTTCTAGTCAAACAAGTTCTCACTGGCACCGAGAACTATGCAACATGGGCTCCCGATTTCCAGTGAGCCCTCATCACCAAGGACAAAGATGGCTACATCGACGGCATCGTCGCACCACCAGCTGATCCCTATCTCCAAAAACACTAGACCAGATGCAATATGTTGGTTTGTTCATGGATCAACAACTCCCTTACCCAAGAGGTTGCTACAGGTCTGCCGCCAATAGAGATCACCGAGGAGCTCTAGCGATTCATCAAGGAGATGTATGGACAATTAGATTTGGCTAAACTGTTCACACTTTGCAAGAATCTCGCCGATATCAAGCAACACAACAACACATCACGGTCTATTACAACCGCCTCTCCGTCGTGTGGAATGAACTCGATGCTGTTGTTGAATACGAGGATCGCCAGAAACACTCCAGTAGTACCAAAGAATCAAAGAACGGGATAGGTTAATCCATTTTTTAATCGGATTGAATGACAATTTTCTGCCCTTTCGAACGCAGATGCTCGCCACAACTTCACCACCATCACTCCGTCGTGCCTATCAATTAGCCATCCAAGATGAGAGTCAAAGGCTGGCCTCCATGGAATCATCACAAAGCTTTCGTTCCAAATAGGGAAGAAAAGAAGGAGGTGTGGCTAGGTTTTGCTAATGAC